TGCATCTGTATCAGGACTAATCTGCTGCCTCAAACCATACTCAGTTAACACTGATTGTTAGTTTGTTAAAGACTGTGTAGACCTAGTTTGCATGGAATAAAAACGTCCAAAAATTTTGGTAAGAAAAAAAATAACTGGAGAGAATCAATTAATAAAATAATTAATTAAATTAAACTCTACTTTGAGATTTTGTGATTTCTTTTTTCCAGCCTTTTCTCAGGTTTTGCTGTTAAGTATTTTCTTTGTACTTGTAAGGAAAATAGTGCTTAGATTATCCTCAGTTTTAACACAATGCAAAAACATGGCAGAGATTTGTCTTTCAGTGATAAAACTAGTGAAAATAGAACACTTATGATAACCTTGTCTTTGAAAAACATCAGCAAAAAGCCCCCCGAGCTCCACGAACATGTTGCAGACTGCACATGTCACATAACTAAGGACTACAATTTTTTGCCTAAGGCTCCCACATTTAACAAAGGGAAATACTGCTTTCAACAAAAGATGCTATTCTAGCTATGTGCCCTTTTACCCTGCCAGAGAAACAGCTGGTATCATAAAGTCACAGCTAATTTGTATCATGTCTGCACTAACAGTCAGATTCAGTTTGTATCAAACTTTCAAAGTTAGACTTAATACCAGTTGATGGATGACAGCTTTTCTTGCCCCTCCTTCTCAAAAATATTTAAACATTGTCTCCCACATTAAAAAAAAAAACAATATTCAAAATACAAGTGGAAACTCTAACATGTTTCACATAACCAAAATATATGAAAATATTTAAGAGTAGTACCTTTAAAAAAAAATATATCCTAAAGAAGAGTGAGAAAATTACACCAGCAGTTCTGAAGTTCTGTGACAAATAAATAGTGCATTAAGGCAGACATATGGGTACCAAGCGTAATGGAAAAGAATTTACTTTTAAAAAGAAAAAAAACCCCACAACTTACTTGCCTCAGGTAATCTCTTGTAGTTTGAGGTATCTGTTCTCCTAAAAAATTTCAGTCTGCCTGCAGAGACTTTAAGGGCTTTTTCAAGGTCAGCACTCAACAATTTAGGGAAGGCCAATTTCACTTTTTTTTTTTAAGTGACCTGTTTCTCATTTATGCTGTTAAATGTCATCTACTCTCATTTTAAGATCCCTGAAGAAGAATGCCTGAACTGTGTAAAGGGACTTTAGTGAAAGTGAGAATCAGGCCAAAGACTCAACAGCTCCAAACCTGCAGCCCTTGTGCGAGAAAGAGCTGCAAAGATCAGGCTCTTCTTGGAAAACAGGCATGGAGGAACTTCCAGAGATTGGGAGTTCAAGCTCAGTTCAGATAAACATCTAACAGTGCTGGTGCACTTCTGAGGTTACCCTCCACAGCACCTGAGTCTACAACATTAGCTGGAGACAAGATATTCTTTGGAGATTTCAGCTACTTCCCACTTCCAGATGATCTAGAAATATTTGGCCAAGGCTTTTTCATCCCACGATCTGAAAGCATCACCGAAATGTAGGCAAGGAAAATCTCACAACATCCTGGGAAGTAGAGAGCGAGTTTTGTTTGGGTTTGGGGTTTTTTTAATGCTGCACAGTATAGTGATTATCAGGGCTCTGAACAATCAGCCCTATATACCAGAAAGGTCGGTCTGCTCCGTAAACTTACGTACACCAAGTGAACAACGACCCTGGGAAGATCAAAGCAGCAGTACCAGTAATGCAGTCTTAAAGTGACATGAGAGCTTATTGTGAAGGAGCTGAGAAAGAGCAGTTGTCAACGAAGACTGAAGAATCCCAGCTCCCAGCCTATCTTTGCCTCAGCACACGCATTTTCTGCCTTAGAAGGTTAATATTGTGCAGAAGACAGTAAGATACAGCTTCTGCTGTGCCTAAGCTGTGCTTGGCACTGCTTTCTGATGGACTCCTTGCCAGTGAACAGAGCCAAAGCGCAGCATGCTCCTGCCACATCCTCTCCAGTGAGCTATATCTGCTCTCTACCTACTGGGAAGATGTAGATAATCAACTCCACTCCCTTCACTCCAAGCACAGCAGTGACTCTGCCCCTACATATGATCCTTGTGCTTGTTCGGATCTTTTTTTTTTTTTTTTAATGTTCTTAAACCTCTGTCTGGCAAGGCATGGTTTATTAGAAGCAGATTTCTCTTCAGCTACTCAGTGTGTCAGTTTTACAATTCCTAGGTGGTGTAATTCCTGGAAAACAAAAAATGTTCTTCATCCAAAATTTTGGATGAGTCACAGCAGGTTTACTTGTTTTGGTTCACCCTTAAATGAAGCATAACTTTCTATATCTAAATGATGCTCTGGTTTTCTTTGTTTCAGCTGCCTGTTAGCTCAAAATTTCTTACAAACAATAACACTTTTCTAGCAAATGATGCCCACCAATTGGGCTCAGCAGCCAAAGGCAGCCGTCTCATTTTCACGGGACTGTGAATTGCATCAGGATACTAGTTACTTCCCAAGCTTGATGCCCTGGCATTAAACTAAACAAAACTCCAAACAGTTGTCTTTAACACCTCTTCAGGAACGCAACACAACACAAGAACGACCAGGTTCTCATCTCTCACAAATGAGCTTTTACCAAAATATGCTCCAGCTGCACATAGAGGCCACCTGAAGTCCCAGAAGCTACAGGGAAACTCAGGCAAGGTTGTGGGTTGCACCTCCTCTTCCAAGCAGCAGAGGGGACAGATGACAGAAGAAGGATCCTACACTCATCTCAGTTTAATTCATCACACTAAAGCCATAGAAAAACATCTTCAGAGACTCTACAGAAATGCTTTCAGTCTTGAATATTTAAGAGAAAAGCTGACCAAAACCTTTCTTACACAATATTTCCTAATGGCAAGCATCTTGACTTTTAACAAAATATACGTTTCTAAGGAAGATAAAAAACAATCATCACTAGCCAGTGACTTTGAACCATAACCTTACAGGCTATCACTTATTCTCGAAAGTAACTTATATAAGCATGTCTCAGATTGTCTTCCAAAGTCAAATTTGGCTGTATTCAAGAATTAACAGAAGAGTTACAGGACCAATATTATAATACTGAACTATATTACTGCTTTTTATACTCAGATCACAGAATCACTAAGGTTGGAAAGGACCTTCAAGATCATCAAGCCCAACCATTAATCCAGCACCACCATGTTCCCTAAACCATGTCTTGAAGCACCACATCCACACGTTTTTTGAACACTTCCAGAGATGTCCCCTAAAGACTATCCTCCTATTCAGCCAGCTTTACAATGTGAAAGATGCGGTTAAGTGTGGAAAGTAGTGTCAGATTTTGCCTTTCCCTCTTTGTGACAGGATTCTTCCAACACTTTGACAAGTGCTGTGGAAGCATCATGAGGACTTCAGCATGAGACAGATGACACTTGCCCTGCATCCTACATTTGTAGTAGATGAATGAGTCCCTGAAGGACAGATTTTCAGATGCAATTCATACATCAAAATAAGAAATACGCTGAAGCATAGTCTCAGTTTTGAGGGACTGAAATGCTTTCTTTCAACACCACATTCTGCATGCTCAGACATGTCTACAAATACAACTCTAGTTGCTGAGCTGCCAGAAAAACTCTGGAGGGCAGTCACTGCTCTCTCCGAATATTCTGTTCTAAGCACAGGGGAGAGCACTTGCATTTCTGATCCCACTTGCTTTTGGATGATATGGCCTCCTTCTCCTTGGGTCAAATTTTTAAGGAATTTAGGTACCTCATAAATGCACCACCTAAGGAAGGACTTGGGAACTTAAATTCAGTGATCTCACTAAAAGTGTTTCATGGGAAATTTTAGAACATTTAGGCTGGTTCTGAATCAGAAAGAAATCCTAATTTTGGAATATCAACATTTCCTACAAACTGGAAATTTTGAAGCTATTGTATCTGGCTTCAGTCTTAAATACTCCCTCCAGAAAAGCTTGAATGCAGAACTCCAAAACGGCAACCAGGGCAGAGAACAGCCTGCAACAATTATCAGCCCGTTCAGCACTTGCACAAACCTTCTCAAGAAGTGTAGGCAAAGTCAAATTTGCTTTCCCGAGGACGATGACAAAAGCAGTTAAAGCGGGCCCAGACCCAGCATTCCTGATGGGAGGGAAGGCTGCTGGAGATGAAAGGCAATGCAACCATTGTTCAGTCTGCCACCATGTCTCTCTCCTCCTCTGCTCTTGCCAAAAAGAGGTGGAATGGTGCAGAAGTACAGGGGAGGTCCAGGCACACAGAGAACATGGTCACTCATCAGTGAGAATAAGCAGCTCACTGTACCCTGAATTAACTGAAGATGATGGTATCTAAGGGAGTTGCCTTGACCCTGGTGCAGTATTTCTGACCCCATCAGTCTGTTGTCATAGGCACTACTTAAACTTAGAGCCAGTCCTCGGTTTGTCTCCAGTCTGGAATTTCCGTATATTGAGGGCCTGAAGTTTACACACATTATAAACACTTCCTTTAAATGGCTTGTGAGCCCTCACTTGTTCTGGCAGTGAAAGAACAACGTTTGTAAAAAATGTCTAAGTCTTACACGCTGTAAATAGTCAGTAAACATGGTTACTGGGTCTCTCACAGACTCCTCAGAGCTTGCCTACTCTAAAAAGAACAGAAGACACAACAGCACAACAGTAACATACCAGCACATGATCTTAACACAAGTAGATATGATTTAAGACTCCCACTGCAAGCGAAAAACTGATTACTGTAAAACTCAAAGATTTTGATTTGAAGATAAATTCAAGATGAAATCTTTTAAATCTTCTATCAGTTCTGAAGTAAAGTCTGATGACAGCAGTCCCAGAGGAACAGGAGTCAAGGGTCTGACCGCAGGGTTGTCCACTGATTTTCAGAGGGATTTTTTTCAAGCCCAAAGCAGCAAGCAAGCACACAGCGGGTGGCATGGGGGAATCCAATATAAAAGCCTCAATACAAAAAACCCAATACAGAAAAACCTTCTGAATACCACAGGCAAGGAAATCTGAGGTAAGTACTTTGATCATACTCACAGGAAGGCAATCAGAAGAAATATTCTGAGCCTTTCAGTAACAAACCAGCAACTGACGAATTCAAAATTATGACTCAAAAAAATAGCGATGATCACTGTGCAGAAACTGAAAATAAAGAACACAGTCTAGCAATAGCATAGTTATTGTGCACTCTTCACTTTCCTTTGGTAAAAGTCGTCTTTAACAACAACCCTACATAGGTTTTTCAAAGTACAGAATAAACCAGAAAAATTTTGCAAGACACCTACAAAATCCACTACCAACAGCTCTATAAATTAGAGTTTGACAAAGCAGACTTTGATTTCCCAAAATCTCTCAACAAAGTCACTCACTAAAACCTCTTTAAGAATTGAAGCTGATATGGGCTAAGTTGAACATTCTCTTATGATTAATAAGAGATGAAGCAAAGCATTAGACCAGAAGTGAGTTTTCATAACAGAACAAGGTTTCCAGCATAACTCTCTAAAGATCTATACTGCAGATAATGTATATAATAAA